GAAGAATGAAGAGGCAAGCTGTCACTGGCATCCCTCGTCGGCCGTGCACTCGTCACTCAGGTGCGAGAAGTAGGATTCAACATGTACACCGGCTCCAAAAGGCCATGCATGTGCCTCCATGCCATACCCTTCCGTGTCAATGGGCCGGGCCCCCCGCGTTCCGAAGGTCCGAACCCGTCCACGCCCATCGTCTGTCAGGCGTCGTGACCGAGGATTGAGTTCGCCGGAGACGCCAAAGCCCGCGGAGGGTCACTCTTTTTCGCGATTTCTACTCATATTTCTCGCACGCATTCATTCTTTCAACTTTCTCTATCCTATCCGTGCGCAAGACTACCTGACTACCTTTCAATTACCCTCCCTCCCCAATGAACATGGAACCTGACAGCGGGGTCCTGTAAGACCATTTTTCCTTTTGAAAGGACGCCCTAACAAGTTCCATGTTCATTGGAGGGAGGGTAGGATCCGCAACACGGAAGTTCTATTGAAACTTCCTTTGATAGCATCCGCCGGCCTGGAGGGCCGAGGAAGGGTTGAACCAGCCAACGCATTTGCAAAGAAGGGCGGTATCGTTTGAATGCGTTTGCGAACAAGTGCAAGCTACAAACAGAACGTTGCTGCAATGAATAGGGCCCTCATGCTCGAAATGCCCTTACGAACCGCAATCCGCCAAACCGTTGCTGAAACAAGACAAAACTTGTGACTTTGCCCTGGTGGCAACCCCGCAGCCACCATCTTGCGAGAATCAGCAAAACAACTGAGGCTTTGGCCGGGTTCGGCAGAAACCCAAAAGGAAAGCCTGAACAAGAGATACATACCCTGCTTTTTACCACTTCATTGAGATGGAAAAACCGCAACCCTAGCTTGCAGCAAGGTCTAGACAGTCCCCAAGCAGCCCACAAATCTTGCAGCCGTTCTTTCAATATTATCTTTGGCCACAGCAGCCTGCCAAAGAATAGGACTATGGCAGACACAGAATACCAGGCCAATGTCTGGCATTCGCCTGTGTTGAATGTGCGTGGAGCTCAAGCAACGCACGCGACCTGGAGCGCTTCCTTGCCAGCAGACTATTGAACTTGAACCAGGAAGCCAAAATGACGGAGGAGTGGCTTGTGAAAGACATGTGAAGGAAGAAACATGCCCAGGACCTGTTTTTTTCAGATGTCCATTTGATTCCAAGTAGCCCGCAAAGGTTGCGTTGACACAAACGCCAGCACTTGGAAGTTCCTCCAAGTAATAGACAGATTTGGGAAGAAGACAGCATGATTTATAATATGATTGCTTTCTCGTTCTACTGAGAGGTGTAGTCGGTTGCTTTCTGCTCCACTGCTAAAAGTTTTAACCTGTAGTGGTTTAATGGAAGACCACTCAAGTTGGCAAAAAATGTTCAGTCCTAACATCTCTTGGCAACATGCACCAACGTTTAGAGCATGTCTCCTGAGTGTTGTGGTTCCAACCCACCCCTAGCGCCTGGGCATAAGGGCGCGCTGTTGTAGAGACACTCGTCCGTGGCGTAGTCCCACAGCTTTTGCCCCGTGGCCACGGAAAGGCCGAAGAGGCGCCGGTTCCCACCGGGCGTGATCTCAAAGGGCATCGTGTCCCGGCCAGTGGTGTCGGCCTTGCTTGCCCGGCGCCAAGTAAGAAAGAAGGAGTGGGCCATGACCAAACGTGCAAACATATATATATATATAAAATCTCAGGTGCAGCCCTCACAGAACCTCGTGGAATCCTCGTGGAACCATCGTGGAACCCTGGTGGCACCCTGGTGGCACCCTCGTGGAACCTTACCTCAAGGCCGCCCTGGACCACCCCGGAGCCTATCTGGGCTGAGACCCAAAGCTTGCAGCTGTTGGGGAAAAAACAGAAAGGTCAAGAGGTCGGCCTTTTTTGCAAGTAAGCTGCAGTCGCCAGAAAGACACCCTCGCATGCAATGGGGTAGCCAACGTCTTGGCCGGCTTTCTCTGCAAGCTGCGTTTGCCAAATCTCCTTGCCAGTATGCCTCAAGACTCAAATGGCGTTCGGATGTTTTTGGCCTTCACCGTTCGAAACACCGTGAGCAAAACAAAAGGACATCCACTCCAGGATACCCTGGCACGGACCAAGGGGTTAGCAAAGGGGTGCACCAGACTATATCTTAGTTTGTTCTTCTACAGGGGCACTCTTTCAGCTTCCATTTGTGCTTCTGGAAGGATTCCGCAAGTGGTCAAAATACACCTCGTCCTTCCACTTCCTCAGTAAATCAAACAGGCATACGCAACAGGGTTCCTTCAAGGATGTATCCAAAACCACCTGCTCTACAAAGGGATCCTCCAAACCAACCGAGGTGATCTTTTGACTGCCCCAAATTTGTATCCACCCCAAGTTTTGACTCAGCCTGTCCACGGCGAAGGCCTTGCCCGCGGTGGTCGCTGACATGACACGATCTCCCGAAATCGTCGGCTCGAAATCCGAAGAGCCTGGCGTCTGGTAGTGCCACAAGACCTCGCCTGCAGGCGAGAACTTCCTCAGCGAGCACAACATGCCGTTGCAGCCACATAGTGTCCAGGAACAGGGAGGCAAAGGATCCTTTTGGGGGTTTCCAACTAGGTCCTCCAGTGGAGAGGTTAGAACAAAGGTAGCCTTTTTTCTGTAGTCTAATTTAGTAGGGGAAAAAGGGCACCTAGCTGGAAGCAAGCTGGTAGTTCCAACAATTTCGGGCCTTGGCTCGGGCTCTTGGCGGCGTGCGTGGGCCTTAAGGAGACAGATACGCCATGAGACGTTTTCCCATCGGAAATGAGATTTAGCTACCGAACAAGGGGTTTTTGCAAAAACCGAGCAAATGTCGTGATTTGCCGCAGCAAGCTTCCATAGCCCATCCATGGTCATCAAGAAAAGGTTCTTCTCTGCATCGACCACCGGGCCCCCTGCGACCATGGTGGAGAACTGGCCGTCTGGGTGGTGCCAGCTCCAGTTTGCGGCACGGCTCGTCATTTTGAAAGTCAGCTCGGTGACTCCGGACTGCAACTTGTCATTGCCGCGGGAATGCCTCAATGAGGGCGCAAAAGAGGTCAACCTTTGGGGTGGTCATGGCTAGACACATGCGGTTGCCAAAAATGGGAGACGTCGGGTTGAGAGGTCGGCATTGATTCGAGATGCGGCCATGGATGATCACTGCCAGTTGTCACCGCCAGCTGTAAGAAGTTGGAACTGCATGTTCCATCATCGCAACTCTCTGCCCAGCTATGCGCCAGGCACAGCGCCAAAAGGCGCAGCATGGCTTGAAGATATAGACGTTTCGGTCGGCTAAGCCAAAAGCGATTTGAGCCATGCCCTACACGTGTCATGATTTGCTAAGTCGTATCATTTTGATTACACCACTAGCTTACGCCACCTTACGCGCATGGAGTTTTTCCTTGCGCGCCACATTCGGAGGTTTTGCTTACGCCGCTAGCTTGCGCCACCTTACGCACGTGGAGTTTTTGCTTACGCACAAGTCGATATGACACGACTCTTACTAACCATGTGCTGTACACGGAGGTTTTGGACGCCGCTCATTTGAGGCTAAGCAAAGCAGGACAAACCAGGCGGAGCGGAACAGAGCTAATCAACGCAATCAAACAAACCAGGCCTCCGGCTAGCATAGCAAGGAATCACGCAGAAAGGCAGGCACAAAACCAAGAATCGAATGTGAACATCGACAGGGAAAGCAGAAGCCAAAATCATAAACAATCTAAGCCATCCAAACAGGCTATCGAGCCAACAAGCCACCAACTCTCACTTGAGGGCTGGTTTCGCCTGCAGCTTCATGGTACATGTGTGAAGGAAGAAAGTCAAAATTCATGCCAGGTGGTCATCTGGAGCATCAAGAAGAATGCCTGTCTCGCAACAGGAAAAACAGCCTTGTTGGAGGACTGTGAGCATGTGATGGGAAGCCAATGAAGGATCTGCTGAAGCGCCCAACCATCCCAACAATTTCTTCCCCAGAAAACCAATTGAATATTCTGGAAGCGGTCATGTCGACCCTGTGTCTCAAGGGCTCAAAGGAATGCATTCCACAAACCTTTCTGGCGCCTTCTCGCGGGTTTCTTGCGGGCAGCGTCCAGGTTTTCTCCCGACCAAAATCTAATCGGGGTGTCCGTAATTGGGAACCACGGTTTTCATTTGTTGAAAAACAACAAACGAAACAAAACAAAACAAAACAAAACAAACCAACACAACAACAACAACAACAACAACAACAACAACAACAACAACAACAACAACAACAACAACAACAACAACAACAGCAACAGCAACAGCAACAGCAACAGCAACAGCAACAGCAACAGCAACAGCAACAGCAACAGCAACAGCAACAACAAAAACAACAACAACAACAAGAACAAGAACAAGAACAAGAACAAGAACAAGAACAAGAACAAGAACAAGAACAAGAACAAGAACAACAACAACAACAACAACAACACCAACAACAACAACACCAACAACACCAACAACACCAACACCAACACCACAACCAACAACAACAACAACAACCAACCAACCAACCAACCAACCAACCAACCAACCAACCAACCAACCAACCAACCAACCAACCAACCAACCAACCAACCAACCAACCAACCAACCAACCAGCCAACCAACCAAACCAACCAACAATAACAAACAATAACAAACAACAACAAACAACAACAAACAACACCAAACAACAACAAACAACAACAAACAACAACACACAACAAACAACAAACAACAAACACCAAACAACAACAACAACAACAACAACAACAACAACAACAACAACAACAACAACAACAACAACAACAACAACAACAGCAACAGCAACAGCAACAGCAACAGCAACAGCAACAGCAACAACAACAACGACAACGACAACGACAACAACAACAACAACAACAACAACAACAACAACAACAACAACAACAACAACAACAACAACAACAACAACAACAACAACAACAACAGCAACAGCAACAGCAACAGCAACAGCAACAGCAACAGCA